TTTACGCTTGTATATAGGAAGAGATTCTGATGGACGTTTTACTTTGAGGATATTACTCTTCTCGGGCACATGTGCAATAAAGATTACGTAACTTTCCTCCATGTTAATACGACAGGAAATCTTGATCTTTTATTAATTACAAATGCCCCCGTCAAGGAACACCTCGAAATTTATGACGATACGACAAGCAATCTTTAAAGATACACAGTTAACGATAAGATCGAATCTTTTATCGATCATCTTATCTTTTAATGATCTCTCTAGATTCTGTTTTATTCTTTAAAAAAAAGTTTGCACAAACCTTCACGTGTCTCGATAAACACCTTTACAGTCTTCGTACAATCTCCCTATGATTCTTCCGCAAGGCCAGCAATTCATAGGTACATCTAATTTATTACCTGAAGCTTCTCTTCCAAGAATCAATTTCAATCCGTGCCTAGCATCATCAAAACGACGTACTGTTGAAATCAACTCTTTCAACAACTAATTACTCTCCTCGTACAATGAAAATTACATTTCGACAGAAACACACACTCGCGGAACATATCCATCTTACCTTTTCCCGCCAACCTAACCTAACAATTTACGAATAGCATCACGACTCCAAAGTATACACCGATCAACCCAACGACCACCCACGTGGTGTCATTAGGAATTAAGAAATATGGCGCGAAAACGAATGGCAGTTATTAAAAGAACACTATTCCGTTTCAGGTGTTCGTGTACACGCCGCAAGCGTATCTAAGCATCAAGGAGCGACTAAAGACGCGCGGTGTGGCGGATCTATCGAATATCGAGTTAAGCAACTATTTCTCGCCGTGGTACGCGGAACACATGGGCACGATACAGGCGGCGAGCGGGAACCATACTGTCGAAACATGGGCGAGGGAACGACTTCAAAACCAATACATATTCTCGTACGGCAGTCTGCTAAAATTGCACGGAAACGCAATGTTGCTGAAGCAACTGGACGGTCTGCTTGGCAACGAGGCGTTGCTACAGTTGCAACTGCGCACACTGGCGCCAATATTCAAAGACCCCCAGCGTCGCGAGTGGTTCCTCGAGGTGATCGACAATTACTTTAAGCTATGGGAGGTGAACATGTGAAGAAACTTGCAAGAAGGAGAACAGTTGGTACACCTCCGTTTTACTTACGTACTATTATGTACTGGTCGAGTCTTACTACGCAAGGAAGACCACGTTACACACAGATAGACGTATTTAGAAGAACAGTGATGACCATGCTTCTAATGAGAAGATCATTCGTCATTGTAGTACGATTACAGTGTTTGAATGGTTGTCAGTCACGGTCCATTGGATGTTTACTATTGTTTCTCCGTCGAACGGACGCTAGGATTTAATAGAGAAACGCCCAACTACTACGTTGTTATTAAATAAGTATTTATTATTATAATTGACGATAGAAAACATTTTTATACAAACATTTTAAATATATATATATTAATATGTATATCACAAGCAATTTTCGCAAAAGTGACTGAAAAATGTGCGACGTTTTGTTTCTGGATTTGTCGTTTCGTTCTTGATATTGGTTTTGATCATTTGCATTTCATATTTTTCGGTTTAAGTTCGTCAAGAATGTCGCGATAAATACAGAAACAGGACTCGTAGTCTTTTTTCTTCTTTCTCGCGTTGATTTTTATTTCCGAATGTAATCGAGATTCGATGAACCGATACTATTTTTTTTTTTTTTAAATAAATATATGGATAGTGTATTTCGTAATACATTTTCTCCTTACGAAATTATGGACGTATTTTTAGCCGAGTTTCATAAATCGATGTTAGTATTCGAGTATAAAAAAGACAGTTAGTTTATATGTTTCGTACGAACGAGTCGAGATGTATTTTATTGGCACGGTGGAACAACTGATGAACTGAACTCAGAGAAAGAAGGTCAGTTTATTTGATCGTGTTTAATGTTCAATGTTGTTTTATATTTTTTATGTTTAATTAACATTTCACAGTCCTCGTGAACATAGAGTTGTAACAATAAACGTAGCAAAAGTGCGATATAAATTTATCAAATAGTTCAAAGAACATTTAAATGTTCATCAAACGAAACTCATTTGAAGATCGAAGAATACACAAGAGTGTATTATAAAAATCAGTATTTTTATATGAAAATCAACTGTACTATATACAAATTATCCTGTAATTGACTTTTGAGCTAACAGAAGGAACTTGAAGAATACATACTCGCTACTTTTCATGAAACTTTGTAGGCACACTACATGTAAAAATTATTGCTCATGCATACAATTCTACAACACACAACCATTTAAATGGACTATTTTCTCTAATCATGTATGTACAAAGTTTTATAAAAATCGATGAGTTCAAATTCTTTAAGTTCCTTTGAGAATTAACATATCATAAATAAAATGTAACAATACTTATGAAGTGAACTTTCGTGTACGAAACAAATTGCGTAAAACGTTTTAAAAATCTTATCGTTTCTAACTTGAACGTTATCTTTATAAGTAAACGCGCAACAATTGTAAGTGTATCGATCTGTCTCCAGAGATATTGACTGTGGTAAGAGTATTTAATTCTATCAATTATACAATAATACTTAGATTCAAGAGTCAACTATCACATTGTCTATTGACAGTGACATTGATTTCAATTTGAAATAAAACAAAGTCTCATCACTATGTTTCGCTATAAATTCGTGAACGACTATTTTGTGCATTAAGCTCAATCGGTTTTCTTAAAGGTGTGCAATTTCGCTGATGCTTGTTGCTCCCTACCTAATTTTCTTCCGTTAACAACTAATATAACTGGAGTTTCAACGCGTATAGATTTGAAGTCAAAATCCTGAAAGAGGATATTCTTATATAATCATTGTTAATTTTAAAGCAAGCGTATATACCAGTACAATAATACTAACGTTATTGAGATAAGAAAACTTCTGATGAATCACAAATGGTTCAGGTATAGCAACAGAATCTCCTACGGTAACTCCACGACCTTTAGCAAGATTGTATACTGTTACAGCAATACACGTTTTCTGTTCGTCAACCAGACAAAAGGCACTGAAAAATTGTACACATATTCGTTAATTACAGTGACAAGTGCTACCACTTGTTTGTTACCTATTTTTTTTTAAATTGAGAAATATACTTACAAAGGTACACAATCAGTGTCTTGTATCCAACATACTACTTTTCCAAATATAACTTTCTCTGAATTTACTCCAGTGGCTAACTCTTTCAGTGATACTAAATCTAATTTTACAATCTTCTGTCCGGACGTGAAAGAGCCACCTTTGTATGGTCCCAAATGTTTAACATCCAATGCCTACATTTAATCATAAACCTATAAATATGTATATGTGCCAGTATCATCTATGACGTTTATACAATCTTACGGAATAAACGTCATCGTGAAATTACATATTCAAAGCAACAAAAAAACCTTGTTTAAAAAACTTTAGATACCCTTATCATTTGGTACAATCTCTTCGGTTTTACTTTTCCATGATTGTTTACTGAATTTTGTACATCTTTTAAATATTGTAACAATTCATCCCTCTTACTACGTGGTGTCTCCCATACTGGATCTAGTAACATTGCTCTCTCAAAAGACTTCAATGCTAAACAATATTCCTCTTGATACTTTAAGGCCTAATGTTATAATTTATCCATATAAATGGGAAGTGCAGAACTTCATCAATACTGTATTACAAATAATAAAATGCTTACCACTGCCTTATTGTGAAATAAATCAGGATTACTTCCTGCTACAATATCTTTTTCCTAAAACCAATTTAAATATGATTGCTACTCTATTCAGGGTTGAGATTTTAGAATTGCCATAATATAAAAAACTTACTGCTTGTGCATAAGCTGACATACAAAGACGTAAAGTTGCAGGACTTTGTGCTATTGTAAAAAAGGAAGACAAATAAGCATTTCCAAGTATTGCCCAAGAAATACCATCTGCTGTGTCAAGACTGACTGCTTCTTTAGCATGTTCCATTCCCTTTTGTATATTTTGTATTCGTTGCTCAGCATTAGGGACTGGTTCTTGCCTGAGTACCATTGACAAATTTTGTAAAGATACTTTATTCCTACCCTACAATATTTTATGTTATATTTTAATTATACCATATGTAATTAAGGAATCATAAGATAATAATACATGATAATAAGGAAGAAAAAGTTTACATGGCGTAAAGCTCCAACAAAACAATTTTTTGCTTGTTGAATGTCATCATTTTTCCAATAACATTCTCCTAATTCATTCCATGCTTCTACTAAGTTAGGCTCTAATTTCACTGCTTTAGTTAATAATTCTTCTGCTTGAGGTATAAAACGTTCTGCAACATTTAAAGCCTTTCCCTTTAGGTAATAATATCTTGCTCTTGATCCATCAATTTCATACCCTTTACATTCATCAAATTTATTTAACGTATCTTTCATCTCTTTTTCTACATCTCCATTCTTTTTAAGTGCATCTTCAATAGAGTGATTTTCAAAATAGTGATCTCGAAAAAAATATAATGCATTTACTTTTTCCTAAAATAAGCAATTAAAATAAGTTTCACAGAAATGCAAAATAAATGTAAAAGTTAATTTAATGATAAAATCATAATTTTTCAAACATCAAAAGTCTTATGTCAAATTACAAGGAAATAGGGAAGAAAGGTTATATTTTATGTATCGATAAAAAAATATAAACGAATTGGTTAATTATCTAAATTATATTATTAAAACGGTGTGTATACCGTCAATGCTATAATTGGATCTTCTTTAACAACGTTTGCAGAGTTTGCCCCTGCAACCACTTTATCATCTATCATTGCAGACATCTTTTTAAAATACTTTCATAAACAGTTTGTCACAGCAATTTCATTGTGCGTCAGATACACGTGGGGTTTCTAGTTTTATACATAATTTACAATTATTTACATGCGAGTCAACGCTTCAACAAAACAGTATAATCTATCATTCGGAAACTGTCAAAATGTTGACGCTTGCAGAGCAACCGCAGAGGTTATATGGTAATGTCAATGTAGCACTAACATAAAGCACTATCCACAACAATCTTAAACATGATCATTGTCAACCAATTTATTCCTAATAATAAGATAATAAAAATAATACAACAAAACGCTCAATTTCACAAAATATTCCAACGACAGCGATAAAAAAAATAATAGAAAAATTGTTTTCAGTTGATGAATTTCCACGTGTTCGGTATAAGCTTCGTTCGCATGTTTGTTGGAAATCCGGTTTTTCCTATAGTTTCAGAATGCACCAAGCGTAGCAGCACTAGTATTACTCCCACTGCCACCTGTCATGAACATCGAACGGAGCGACTAGTCGAATCGCGTACTCTGTGACCGAAGCTTCCGCAGAAGGTTGCATCGTCTCAGGATCGCCATTTTATGTGTTTGGCTCTGAGACTGGGACGGTGGGTGCGTGCGGTGCAGACTACAGAGAGCGTATTTTTCGTGCGTAATCTGCAAGATGTTACCCAAATACTTTGCGCCCGACATGTACAAGTAACGACAGGTGTCGGAGTGTGTGATCGGGCAGCGAAGCCACGGGCCGAAATGGTCCCGGAATAGTGAGCTGTGCGTGAGTGTGTTTTCATCGAGGTAAAAAGTGCGTCGCACTGGCTTTTCACTGCTGTCACCGTTTGTTAATCACTGTGTGCCATTCGGAGAAGTCGGCTTCGGGCAAAATTACGGACGGCCTCTGGATTCCCCGCGACATTCTCGCCCACCACCATCTACGATGAGTTCGCGCAACATACCCTCAGACAAGGTGAGTCTTGTCACTTGCTCCCTAATATGTCTACCGCACCCTTCTGCCTTCTCTTTATCCTTTATTCTTCAAAATATAACACCTAAACTGTCGTTCGATACGGATCGTGACAGTACCCGTTTTATTTAACCACACTTTTATTCAGTAAATCACGGCCATGGGACCGTCAATGCGTAAAATTACAGTCGGATCAATGAGATGCTTTCTCGCGCCTATCCGTCGTTTCTTTTCCCCTGATTAAACAACGGATGTGCACCCTCGCAGTAGCGATACTTGTATCTTATTTTTTCCGTTATTCTATTTTCTACCGTATTATCAGTTTACTTCCTCTAAGTTATATCACACCGACCTTATTGTGATCACTTCGACACATTCAAGTAAAAGATTTCACCGAGACATTCTACAATGTCAAAATTTTCACGGTAGAATCGAATCTCGCGCGATAACATGTTACCATCCCGTACTCTACCACACTTTTACACCCCTTCACCGTTGATCGATCGTAAATTGCCAATACGATTTCCCCTGTGAGGAACGTGTACTACGTATACGTATAGAAGGAAGAAGAATCGGTGGTTAAATTTATTTACCGACGCTACTACTACGCTCGTCGTAGTTTATTCGAGTGCTGTCATAAATTTACACCTGTAGCTAATTAATGGACAGAGAGGGATGAATGGGTAGTGGGATGGGTAGCTTTGATTCGAATTCTTTTTATTCCAACAAGCGCAATTTCGCCGGTGCCTTTCTTCTCGCGTCAAGGGCTCATGCTGTCGAGTCGTTCCATCCCGCCAGCACACCCCCACCTCTCCTCTTTCCAGCTCCGTGAATTAATTGTGTCGTGAAAGTCGTGACGGAACGTTCTCCACGCTTTGTGAGTTACACACCTACCATTACACAGTGGATTCGCGGCGGGTTTTTTTTCTCTCTTTTTTTTTTTTTACAAAGTCGTCGCTACTTGCGTAAAGTGCACTCGTAGGCCGGACAGACAAGGCTGTTTAATTGGCACCAATCGTATCATGGGCACGACGAGTGTCCCTCTGTCTCTTCTCCCTATCGATTCCTCCTCTTCACCTTTTGTTTCGCGTCTCGATATTATTAAATCAACGGCCATGTACACACACACTCACGCACACTTACACATTGACAACGTTTGTAGAGGTTAGATGAGCGCGCGCGAACGTTTTCTCGGCCCCGCGGGCTAAAGAATAGATCGACACACACACGGCCTATTCCCTCTAAAAATAGCGTGCATCCAAAATTCAGCGGCATCGATGGAGCGTGAAATAGATGCAAATATTTGTGCGGCCGCTTTTCGCGATTATGCACGCCGGGCTACGGCTATTTTCCTGTCCCACCATCATGTTCTACTCTGTTCGCGATTAATTAACGATATTGATTGCTTACGGTCATGTCGAGAGGGAGAGGATTTATGCGGTTTCCCGTGAAAATACCGGGGAAAAATATGCACGCACTAATGACAAATTTCTTACTAACCATTTGAGTGTTTGTAAACGTACACGTTATTTTTACGTGTATTTTAATATTAACAAAATCACAAATAAAAATATGTTAAACTTGAATATATCTGTATTCTTTGTTAAAATATTTATTCAATCTCTTTCAAACGGAACGAATTAGTCTGTTTATTATTTAGGGATGAAAATTTTGTTTGTATCTCGTCAATGGCATCGAAGGTCAAGATATTTTTGTTCAACGCGGTTCATGGTTATTATGTAGTTTATGACTTAACTGAAAAACGATACACGGGGTGATTTTAGAAACTGGGTCGGTTTGTAGGTACTTTTTTATTCGACGCCAGGGTTATTGGAGGGAGGAGGGTATTGCGTGGTTTCGCGAGGTCGATTCGCCAATGAATGTTTTTTTTTTTTCCCCTTTTTTCAAGGCACACCGATGCGTCCGCAAGGTGTAATTGCACTTTTTGCATTTTTAATGGTTTCGTTGGAACTGGTACCCGCAGATGTTCGCTTGAAATCGTTTATTGAATAAAAGGAGCTTCCTTCGTAATACTATTGAAATTTTATCGTTTCACCGGGTAAAAATTTTCAGTGTACCAATTATAAGAGAAAACCGAAAGGGTTTTAAATCGAACATGTACACGATGATCGAACTATAAAATTATGTAAACGAAGCCATTTTCTTCTATAAGCTTGAACATCACATAAACCACGTATTTTAAGATCCTCAAGTCCCGAGAGTAACGTATGTATACGGACGTTACAAGAACCCTATAAAATACATCAAGAGTTCCCTCTGTTTTTACGATTTTTCTAAGAACCTCGTTCGGATAGATTTTCGAACAGAAAGTACGAAATACATTAAGTTGATATCGCTACGGAATTAGGTTTACGACTTTTCACTAAAACATCAAACTAAACTACACGTAGTTAATTACACATCGTTCGAAATCAATCCCCGCATCAAGATAGTACGAATTTCGTATTTCGAATGAATTAATGCAAAAATTACCAAAGCAATTAAACCGGCTGTTACATTTCCTTGTAAAATCATTTTTCAACAATGTTGCTGTTACTCTTTAATTAACGTCGGTTGAAGTGTAACCAAAAAAAGAAAGAAAGGAACACCTTTTCCTCGCATAGAATTTTTTTTTTTTTTTTTTTTTAAGCATTCGTAATTTCGACCGTTCACATAGAAACAACCTTACGTTAATCGGCCATAGTTGTAGGTGGCGCTGAAAATAACCAAGAATTCGAGTAATTTAGCCGCGTCTAGGTTCTCGCGATAATTGCATAAAAATTCTCGCGAGCTGAATCAAATGGCAGGCCGTTGCGCTAGGCTGCCGGCAAGTTTTCAATTAAGAAATGTTTTCCGCGGAGAATTGCGGACCCGGCGGAAGGTTAGTTTCGTTACAATTAATCGTGCAAATTGGAATTCATGGCGTGCCACCATTCCAGGCCTCGGCAACGCCTGGCCAGAGCAACTAGCGAGCCCTTTCAGCCACGTTAAAGACACTCTATCACTTAATTATTTTACCCCGTGGGCGACGACGACGACGACGCGTTCGCGAGAAAACATTAAGCAGTTCCCGTCGAATCGAACGGCCGCGCTGTGATTCGCCGTGCTCTCTCCCCCATTAATAAATGATCTTCGCGCGGAACTTGCTTATAACCGTTATCTTCCTTCGTTTTCGTTCCGTTCACGTGAAGTATTTCACTCGAGGAATAATTATTGCGAATATTGTTCTGCTGTATTTCAACCTGTTAACACGTTCGATGCTATTTGACGGCGCGTCGAGGCAATTCTTTCGAGTAATTCTGCAGACGCAATTGTTGCATTTTTGTTTTTTAGGGGAAATATTGTGCAGCAGTGTTATTTGCTGTTGTTGCAAACATTATTACTTAAAATAAAGATATTTCTGACATAAAAACATGCAGTTTCTGGGAAGGGATGATTTGTAATTAATTCATCAATGCTTAGAACACAATAATTTATTTATTGAGGCATTGTTCATTTATAATAGTACTGTTATACCTTTGTTAAACATAAAACACACCATTTGCAAGAACGAAAGTGAAATAATTAGTTATAATTTTTGCTCATTTTTAATTATAAATCAGGTAAACTTAATTTTTGTTTGAGAGATGAATTTACATAATAAGTTAATGAATAGATAGGGTATAGGTCGATAAGCAGGGATTTTTTAATGGTAGAATTTTAATTTTTTCATTAATGACAAAAGTAGCTTTTGTATTGAAGAATAAATTGATCTTAACCTACTAAGTAAAAAACAGCTATTTAACTCATCACTTGAATTATCAATATTTAAAATGCAATAATTTCTTTAGAGATCCTCTATTTATAATTGCATTGCTATATCTCTAGTAAATGTAAGGTACGCGATATTCGAAGAAATTCAATTTCTGACGGAGAAATTGACCCAGTTAACGAGTTAAATTTCTTTCAATAACTTTCGGGGTCGATACGACAAGCAGCTATTCTTTATTTTATAAACATTCCGAATTATTTCTCGTTCCTTCCTTAAACGAACAAACCTCGT